TCGCTGAAAATCAATAGGCTTCTTCGTTTTATGACCTTAAACACTGTGTATAAATTTAAAGTCAACAGGCTTTTTGTTTTACTTATTTAAATAATGCATATAAATTTCATACAGATCGGATGATATCTTTTGTCGTTCGAACGTTCACAACAAGGAACAACAAAGTGAAACAAGGGCCATAACTCACGGCGTAATTAACAGAAATTGCTGAAATTCAATATGCTTCTTCGTTTCACTAATTTAAATGATGCATATCAATTTCAAAAAGATCGGATGATAACTGTTGTCATTAGAGCGTTCACAAGATTCAACAAATTGAAACAAGGGCCATAACTCTAGATGTAATTAACAGAAATTGCTGAAATTCAAAAGGCTTCTTTGTTTTACTAATTTAAATGATGCATATAAATTTCATACAGATCAGTTGATCACTTTTGTTGTTAGAGCGTTCACAAGGTGCAACAAAGTGAAACAAAGGCCATAACTCCAGAAGAAATTAATGGAAGTTATTGAAATTATATAGGTTTCTTCATTTCACTAAAGCAAACTACATATATCAATTTGAAAACAATCAGATGATAAATGTAGTCTGTAGAGTGTTCACAAGAAATTGTGGATGATGGACGGACGGACCGACAGACGGACGGACTGACAGGGGCAACAGCAATATACGACCACATTTCCATGATTTTTCTTACAATCAGGGGCCATAATTTAGGAAGTTACAGTCAGATATGTGCGGATATCGAAAGGAACCGAGATCTTTGGGTTATAAACTTACATTTCAAGTTTCATCAAAATCAGAAGAAAATTGTGACTCTATAGAGTCCACAACCTTGATATATCATATTTTTAAGCTATTTGAGTACGAGGGAAGGCCATTTTGTCTGTCAGTTTTGGTCCTACCATCCTTAGGGTGTAACGGTGATATATTCAAATGTTTTTTTAAATCGGATAAAAATTATGACCTCTATAGGGTCCACAAGCTAAAAGCGTGATTTTTCGTACAATCAGGGGCCATAATTCCGGAAGTTACGGTCCAACATGTGCAAATATCGACAGTATCCGAGATCTTTGGGTTATAAACTTACATTTCAAGTTTCATCAAAATCAGAAGAAAATTGTGACCTCTATAGAGTCCACAACCATGATATATCATATTTTTACGCTATTCGAGTACGAGGGGTTGCCATTTTGTCTGTCAGTTTTTTACTATTCAAAACCAAATTTGTCCGTTTTGCCGAAAATACCGACATTAAATTTATTGTTAATTATATTGATGTCCAGGTCAAGAACAGATGCATTTATAGTGCCAGAATTTTCTTTATTTAATATTAGTTCAGGAGGATATATTTCATTTTTATATTCGTTGAAATTTCCGTTATCATTGATAGGTGTTATGTCATCAATGTATCGAAGGTATAGTTTAGCCTTTTAGCTACTTTGTAATCTGTTTTTATATAAATGTGACCCCCCACAGCATACTGAGTCACAATGAGGAAATTTTGAAAATTGAGTTATTGTTATTTTCACAATCTCCAACTCATTACCTTCAATTTGATGTACAAGTTTATTTGAATTGGGCAAAAATTGACTGAGCTGTGTCCATAAGAAGCTACCCAACTCACAAAAGTAAGTTTTGAGAAAAAGCAAGTCAAAGATTTGGTATGTTCCAAAACAAAATCCCATAGCAACCAGGCCATTTATCTGCTGTTTTGTCATTGAATATATCTTTCCATGGGTTTTCAGGGGTGCTGAAGACAAAAATCGTAGTAAATATTTGATCCGACTATTTCCGCAATTTTTTTGCTATATTTTGTCGTTTAATATGTTTTATTCAAGGGTGCTGATGACGAAAAATAAATGCACTCCTTTCGTAACAAAACATCCACAACACATACGGCATAATATTCACATGATAGTGTTATACTGAAGAAGAATCTATACATTAGAAGTATATTGTGTATAATATAACTTTAGTGAGATTAACTCAGTTAATCTCATCAATTAATTAGCACCTTCGTACCAGCTAGTGGTCAGGAGATTAAGATTGTTGATTGGATAATCATCAAAGAAGCCGCCACAGTTGTATGCGTGTTCATTTAACACGTGAATTAAAATAAGATTTTGCGTGTACGATAGGTCTATTATTATTTTCAGGTACCGTGACGTTTACAAAATACGAGTCCCTATAGAAATGTCAATTTCATAGTAAAGAAATGCTTACGTTCACTTTCGTGCATTTTGGCTTTGATGTAAATATCAACATTATTCAGAGGATACGCCCACATTTCGCAAGAGATGGATAGAGAACAAACTAAAAACAAACAAGATTTTTTGTACAATCAGCGGCAGTTTTGGTCCGATTTTCATGAAATTGAAACTCAGCGAAATTACGGTGTAACGGTGATATATTCGAAAGATTTTCTAAATCGGATAAAAATTGTGACCTGTAGAGGGGCAACAGGCTAAAAACGTGATTTTTCGTACAATTAGGGGCCATAATTCAGGAAGTTACGATCAATATGTACGAAAATAGAAAGGAACCAAGATATTTGTGTGTAAACATGCATTTCAAGTTTCATCAAAATCAGATGAAAATTGTGACCTCCAGGGGGGCCACAACCCTGATACACAATATTTTGACACTATTTGCGAACTAGGGGCAGCCATTTTGTCCATCAGTTTCGGTCTGATTTTTACGAAATTCAAACTCAACCATCCTTAGGGTGTTACAGGGATATATTCAAATGTTTTTTTTAAATCGGATGAAAATTGTGACCTCTATGGGGTCCACAAGCTAAAAACGCGATTTTTCGTACAATCAGGAGAAAATAATTCTGAAAATTATTGTCTGATATGCGCGAATATTGAAAGGAACTGAGATCTGTGGGTTATAAACATGCATTTCAAGTTTCATCAAAATCAGATGAAAATTTTGACCTCCAGAGGGTCCACAACCCTGATACACAATATTTTGACACTATTTGCGAATGAGGAGCGGCCATTTTGTCCGTCAGTTTCGGTCCGATTTTTACGAAATTTGGACTCAACCATCCTTAGGGTGTAACGGTGATATATTCAAACAGTTTTTCAAATCGGATAAAAATTGTGACCTCTATGGGATCCACAAACTAAAAACGCGATTTTTCGTACAATCAGGGGCCATAATTCAGGAAGTTCTGGTCCGATATGTGCAAATATCGAAAGGAACCGAGATCTGTGGGTTTTAAACATACATTTCAAGTTTAAACCAAATCGGATAAAAATTATGACCTCTACAGTGTTCACAAACTAAAAACATGATTTTTCGTACAGGGGCAATAATCCATGAAATTACAGTCCGATACATGCCAATATCGAAAGAAACCAAGATCTTAGGGTGATAAACCTATATTTCAAGTTTCATTGAAATCGGATAAAAATTGTGACCTGTAGAGTGTTCACAAACAATTGTGGAAGGATGGACAGGGGCGACAACAATATATGTCCACATGAAAATGTGGGTGTATAAAAATCATTGAAATCAATACACTTGTATAAATATAAAATCAATCAGATGATAACTATGGTCTCTAAAGCATCCACAAGATTTTTCAAAGTGATCAAGGGTCATAACTCTGGCAGTAATTATTGGAAATCGCTGAAAATCAACAGGATTGTTCGTCTCATGACCTTAAACACTTTGTATAAATTTAAAGTCAATCAGATATTAACTTTGACCTCTAAAGTGTCCACAAGATTTTTTGAAGTGATCAAGAGCCATAACTCTGGCAGTAATTATCGGAAGTCGTTGAAAATCTGTAGGCTTCTTCGTCTCATGACCTTAAACACTGTGTATAAATTTTAAGTCAATCGGATATAAACTTTGACCTCTAGATCGTCCACAAGATTTTTTGAAGTGATCAAGGGCCATAACTCTGGCAGTAATTATCGGAAATCGCTGAAAATCAATAGGCTTCTTCATCTCATGACCTTAAACACTGTGTATAAATTTAAAGTCAATCGGATATTAACTTTAGCCTCTAGAGGGTCCACAAGCCGGACAGACCAGCGGACAGACATTTTTGTCCAGCAATTTTGGCCCGATTTTCGAACTCAGTCATCATTAGGGTGTAATGGTGTAATATTCAAATGTTTTTTTCAATTGGCTAAAAATTTTGACCTCTAGAGGGACCACAAGCTAAAAATGTGATTTTTTGTACAGTCAAGGGCCATAATAACAGGAACTTATGATCTGATATGTGCGAATATCAAGATCTTTGGGTTATAACCATGCATTTCAAGTTTTATCAAAATCGGGTGAAAACCATGATATACCATATTTTTACACTATTAGCATATGAGGGGTGGCCATTTTGTTCGGCAGTTTTGGTCCAATTTTCACGACATTTGAACTCAACCATCATTAGAGTGTAACTGTGAAATATTCAAACGTTTTTTTAAATTGGATAAAAATTGTTACCTCTAGAGGGACCACAAGCTTAAAACACGATTTTTCATACAATCAAGGGCCATAATTCAGGAAGTTACGATCCGATATGCACAAGATCTTTGGGTTATAAACATGTATTTAAAGTTTCATCAAAATCTGATCCAAATTGTGAGCTTTAGAGGGTCCACAATCATTTTGTCCGGTAGTTTTGGTCCGATTTCACAAAATTCGAACTCAATCGTCATTAAGGTGTAACAGTGATATATTCAAACGTTTTTTTAAATCGGAATAAAATTGTGATTTTTCGTACAATCAGGGGCCATAATTCAGGAATTTACGGTCCGATATGCACGAATATCGAAAGGAACCGTGATCTTTGGACAGGCGTAATTGTCGGCAATTATCATTCAACAGAAACCATTGATTAGAATTACTCATTAACACATTCCAGATTATCTGATTGATACTCAATATAATTTTTGAACACCACTTTCAGTTTTATTTTGAAAATTGCAATGAGGGATGGACAGTATAATCCCTGTTCGAAATGTGTGAAAACCCTTACCCAATAACCTCTGTATTTAGCTGATATAATTACTTGACTAGTTCTCATTTTTCTATATAATGTCTTTTGTTTCCAACCTTTCCACATTTTCTGTACTAATATAGCTAAATCTTCCATTTTATCTCTTCTTCTTTCTTCCATATCAAATAACTAAGTAGAAATATATATTAAACAATATCAATACTGACTGACAAGTAAATAACTATGCCATGAAATTACAAATCGATGTTTTACTTTCTACAAATACATCTCCTCTCCAATCTTACTAATAACTGATAAGGCAAAAACCAGCAGCTGCCAGGTGGGATACGCCCACATTTTTCAAGAGATGGATAGAGAACAAGCTAAAAGATAGGTTGCCAGGCAACGAAACATCTGCCCATATCTGTTCCTTTGTACTAGGTAATTGGGGGCCTTTACAAGGCAGTTCCATACAGATCAGATTATAATTTTTGCCGTTTGAGGGTTCACAAGGTTCTACAAACTGAAACAAGGGTCTCAGCTCTGGAAGTGATCTACAGAAATTGTTGAAATTTGACAGGCTTTTTTGTTTTACTGATTTAAATAATGCATATAAATTTCATACAGAATAGATGATCACTTTTGTCACAAGGTTAACAACCGCCATAACTCTAGAAATAATTGACGGAAATTGCTGAAATTCAATAGACCTCTGTTTCACAAATTTAAATGATGCATATAAATTTCATACATATTGGAGGATAACTTTCATCAATCGAGCATTAACAAGGTTGAACAAAGTGTGACAAGGGCCATAACTCTAGAAGTAATAAACGGAAATTGCTGAAATTCAACAGGATTCTTCTCTTTACTGACACATGCAAATTTTATACAGATCAGCGGATAACTTTTGATGTTAGAGCGTTCACAATGTTCAATAAAGTGAAACAAGGATCGCAACTCTAGACGTAATGAACAGAAATTATTGAAATTAAATAGGCTTCTTCGTTTCACTAATTTAAATCATGCATATAAATTTCACAAAGATTGGGTGATAAATTGCGGCGTTTACAGCATTCACAAGGTTCAATAAAGTGAAACAAGAGCCATAACCCTAGACGTAATAAACGGAAATTGCTGAAATTCAATAGGCTTCTTCGTTTCACTAATTTAAATAATGCATATAAATTTCAGAAAGATAGAATAACTTTTGGTGTTAGAGCGTTCACAAGGTTCAACAAAGTGAAACAAGGGCCATAACTCTTAGACATAATAAACGGAAATTATTGTAATTAAATAGGCTTCTTCATCTCACTAATGCAAACAACATATATCAATTTTAAAACAACTGGATGATAACTTTTGGTGTTAGAGCGTTCACAAGAAATTGTGGACGATGGACGGACTGACGGACCGACGGACCGACGGACGGACGGACCGACAGACGGACCGACAGACGAAAGGATAGACGGACGGGGCCGACGGCAATATACGTCCACATTTCTATGTGGGCGTATAACAAAAAGCGATTTTTCGTAATATCAAGGGTCATAATTCAGGAAGGTACGACCAGATATGTGCGTATATCGACAGGAACCAAGATCTTTGGGTTATAAACATGCATTTTAAACATGCATTATGCAAGAGCAAAATCTGCTTATTACAAGTCTTTCTTTAGGCCTGAAATGTTATCTAAATTATCAATTAGACATTAATTAACTTATCCAGACCATAATAAACTCTCGATGTCAAGGCTAGCCTTCGATGTAGGCTGGATTAGATTCCTATATGCCGCTAACGCCCAAAGATAATTAAATCAGAAAAAGTGGATAATCGAGACTATGCGGTTTTTATTAATGATTTTAGTAATGATAACCGAGACTATGCAAAAATTTCACCAGCTTCTTTCTCGACTCATAGTGGATCAATTTGACTGAAATTTTCAGCAAATTACCTTTACAATATCTAGTTTTAAACTATTATAGTGAGAACTGCCATCTCTTTATCTTATCTCCCATAATGTATCTTTAAGTTTCTTCAAAATAGGCTAAAAATTGTGACCTCTACGGGGTCCACAACCTTGATATATCATATTTTTACGATATTTGAGTATCAGGGGCGGCCATTTTGTCTGTTAGTTTTGGTCCTTTTTTTTTATGAAATTCAAACTCAACCATCCTTAGGGTGTAACAGTGATATATTCAAACGTTTTTTTAAATCGGATAAAAATTATGACCTCTATAGGGTTCACAAGCTAAAAACGTGATTTTTCGTACAATCAGGGGCCATAATTCAGGAAGTTACGGTCCAATATGTGCGAATATCGAAAGAAACCGAGATCTTTGGGTTATAAACTTATATTTCAAGTTTCATCAAAATCAGAAGAAAAATGTGACCTCTAGAGGGTTTCCAACATTCATATACCTTATTTTTATGCTATTTGAGTATGAGGGGCAGCCATTTTGTCTGTCAGGTTGGGTCAGATTTTTAAGAAAGTCGAATTCAACCATCCTTAGTGTGTAACGGTGATATATTCTAACGGTTTTTAAAATCGGATAAAAAATTATAACCTCTATAGGGTCCACAAGCTAAAAACACGATTTTCCGTACAATCGGGGACCATAATTCAGGAAGTTAAGGTCTGATATGTGCCAATATCGAAAACAACCTAGATCTTTTGGAGATAAACCTATATTTCAAGTTTCATCAAAATCGGATAATAATTGTGACCTACGGGGGCGACGACAATATATGTCCATATGAAAATGTGGGCGTATAAAAATTGTGACCTCTATAGGGTCCACAAGCTAAAAACGCGATTTTTCATACAATCAGGGGCCATAATCCATGAAGTTACGGTCCGATACATGCCAATATTGAAAGGAACAGAGCGAGATCTTAGGGAGACAGACAGGGGCGACGGCAATATACGTCCACATGAAAATGTGGGCATATAAAAATGCGATTTTTCGTACAATCTGGGGCCATAATTCAGAAAGTTACAATCTGATATGCGTGAATATCGACAGCAACCAAGATCTTTGGGTTATAAATATGTATTCCAAGTTTCATCAAAATCGGATTAAAATTGTGACCTCTAGAGTGTCCACAACCTTGATATACCATATTTTAACACTATTAGCTTACAAGGGGCGGCAATTTTGTACAATCTGGGGCATTAATTCAGAAAGTTACAATCTGATATGCGCGAATATCAACAGCAACCAAGATCTTTGGGTTATAAACATGTATTCCAAGTTTCATCAAAATTGGATTAAAATCGTGACCTCTAGAGTGTCCACAACCTTGATATACCATATTTTAACAATATTAGCTTACAAGGGGCGGCAATTTTGTTTGATTTTCATGTATAACTCAACCTTCATTACGGTGTATCAGTGATATATTTGAACGTTTTTTTAAATCTGATAATAATTGTGACCTCCAGAGGGACCACAAGCTAAAAACGCGATTTTTCGTACAATCCAATTTGCGCAAGTTTTATCAAAATCGGTTCAAAATTGTGACCACTAGAGGGTCCACAAGCTAAAAACGTGATTTTTCGTACAATTAGGGACCATAATCCATGCAGTTTTGATCCGATACATGCCAATATCGAAAGCAACAGAGATCTTTTGGAGATAAACCTATATTTGAAGTTTCGTCAAAATCAGATAAGAATTGTGACCTGTAGAGTGTCCACAAACAATTGTTCGGATGGACAGGGGCGACGGCAAGATACATCTACATGAAAATGTGGGCGTATACAAATTGACAAAAAAATGGATAATTGCCGATAGAACCATCTTGCCCCCCCCCCCCATACCTTTCATCAAAAGAAAAGATAGGTTGCCTGACAACGACACATATGCCCACAGCAGATAAGTCGTCCAAGCAGTCCATAAAGGTTTTTTTTTATTTTGTTGGTAATGGGAGCATTTACAACACTGTAACCTACTTTCGAATTTTTTTTTTTGGGATAATCATCATCAAGATGTTGATAATAATTAAAACATTCTCTAGTATGTTAGTAGTAGATCTAAATTGTGTAAGGGTTTAGTGGAGAAAGGGTAGTGAATTGAGTTTTGGGTTATGTGATGTTATCGGCTTTCATTTAATTTCTATATTGATTATTTTCTTGAATATCTGTAACAGATGTGACAGTGTATATCAAAGTGAGTCAGAATACGCAAAATCTAATTTTGGACTAGAGACAAAATAAGTGAAAATATTGATTTTGATCGAAATTGAGATTTTCACAAAAATGAGTCTATAAATATACTATCTATTGACACAAAAGATCAAAATAGCAATAAGAGATTTTAGAACACCTTTATTTAAAGGAGCTAAATCGCTAATATTTGGGACAAAGAAATTGACAAAAATGGGTTGCAACGCATATAATAATGTAATATGAATGTATATAAATTGATTTACATTCAATCGTTTCTGTTTTTACTGTAATTTCTAATCAGATAGGTTCGGCGAAATACGCCAGTATTCTCAATCGAATTTCAATCTCTAGCGACTGGTTATTCCAACTTACGCCAATAGTATTTATTGGACATGCTCTCCAGATAAGGATATAGCGTCGCCGTTTGACATGACTTGTGGAATATGCCTAGCCTCATTTTTCGAGTCCCTTATTACAAATAGCACTGAAACGTATTATGGTACACGATTTGTGTACCAATTGTAGAATGTTTATTTTGTCTTAAATATTGGATATCGGAAGGCCCTCTTTTCCCGGTAAGATCACAACATCAATGTTGATTTAAAACGACAAATAAATCGTGTTTTCAATGTCGAAGATTTTGGATGATATTGAGTTAGAGACTTAGCTACTTTAAACGTTTTGTAAGAGTACCGGAAATTGTTAGATCAAGACTAAATAATAGAGTGTACGAAGCAAGGCCGCTGTTGAGCGAGGCCACATGTCAGTCAATTTAATTGAAAGTTCGATATATACGGCCTTGATATTATGTTTAGTTCTGGTTAAAATGAGAGTTTGGATGCCGGTATTATACGCTCTTCTGTCACTTGCGTTTACAGAAAAGTTATGGAAATTGATAAACATCGTAGCTAACATCACCCCAGTTGAATTGCAGCCCCATTGGATCACTGTTTCCTATTTCAATTTGTCTGCTTCGGGAGTTACGTAGGCCTACGAGTTACGGTACAAGAGTACA